GCTGGGTTGTTTGGGTCGTTATTCTTATGGATTGGTAATTCCGTAAGACCATTTACTTGGAAATTCACCCAATTTTAGAATTTTATTGAAAATTAAATAATGCAATTCAGAAAACTTTTTGGTAAGCGCTTCATAATAATTGCAGTAATTGCATCTACGCTTGGTGACTTGTGATGTTTTAGTTGTTTGATACTACCTAATGTTTCTTCATGTTACATCATTTAAAAATTGTTTACTGTCATCATCACAAGTTACGTTACGTTGTTTGATGAGTTGTTACGATCTTCGTGTGGGGGGTGGATTATTAACTGGAAGTGTTCTAACCATTGATTATAAGAAATGTTACTTTCCAGAATGCTTTTTTTGTATACAAGATATAACATTTTTTAATGTTCCTTTTCGTCTTGTCTTTTCTTTTCCCTTATCAAGTTTTTGTATTCTCTTTTACAATGTATGTATACATTATATCTTATCTCATCCCTACTCTGTCTAAATAATCTCAGTGTTCTTGTTCATAAGTCGTGATATACTTTGTCAAACCACTGTTTTGTATTTTTTGCATTCATATTTCGTCTACCTGTATGCTTTATTTCTTTCCCTAAACTATATATTGCATTTGTAATTTTGTTAATCAGTGTTTCACAATCATCGGTATCGTAACACCTGCAGATATCGGGTCTAGGCCCGTTGCCACCCGGCCTGTTGCCACCCGGCCTTTTGCCACCCGGCCCGTTGCAACCTTAGGCCCGTTGCCACCCGGCCTTTTGCCACCCTAGGCCCGTCGCCACCTGGCCTTCTGCTACCTGACCTTTTGCCACCTAGGCCCGTTGCCACCCGCCTTTTGCCACCCGGCCCATTGCCACCATAGGCCCTTTGCCTCCCAGGTATAGTAGGTCTATGCATTGTATTTGCAGAAATTTTACTCTCGGCATTTTTGCCAAACTATGTGTACTGAATGACGAATGGATTGATTGTTTGGCAGATTGTAAACAATGACAATTCGTTGCGGTTAACCATCATGAAAGGCACACGTGTGAAGTTCCTGATTAGCATTCTATCTTTATTTGTATGCAATCAGACGTACATACTGTATGTATATGTTTTCTGAGTATGTACTGTTTTTAGTTAGTGTGTGTGTGTGTGCTTTTTTACATTTTTTTGGAAAGGCAGAACATCATGAATTAAAAATCTTGTAGTGTTATAAATTGAACAGATTTTTTATTTTTTTATTTCATTGACTTACCTTTGAGTGTGGAAATAATAATGAACATAAATATAGTGAAAATGATGAAAATAGTGATAAGCTATTATTATTAATATGTTGAATATGTTGCTGCTACCGCTATAAGAAATGGGCCTATGCCCACACATATGTACACCTCTCACAATTTGTTGTTTTTAAGATATTAAGCCAAATGTATGATCATATATAGCTGTGGTATACCAATAGAAAAAACATGGGTGGGGGAAATGTCCAACTGACCAATTGAAGACCACGCAAATTAGGCTTGAAGACACTATAATCTGAACAATAGCCCTAGTCACGGTATAAACAATCAGGAGGATTAGTTTGCTCAAATCGTTAATGTTACTGAGCGCAATATCATTTGTAGTTTACCGCTAATGAGAAGAGCTTTATTTAAAGTTTATCAATGACAGTTATTTCTCATGACAAAATATATGATTGTTATAAATTGTCTGCATAAAGAGAGAAATACCAAACAAATTCCATAAAGGTCATTATACACACATAATATAGGCTTGTGGTTATACTATATAAATGACTATTATTATCATAAATGTGTTTTTTTTATTGCAAAAGCACAGGCTATTTCTTTCTATTTTAGATTAAGAATATACTTAAAAATAAAATATAAAAATAAACTAGACATTGCAGTATTTCTTTCCTTATGTGGATTTATAACAATGTTTATTTCTGCAATTTTCTCCTGGTGGTAAGATGGCGCATGGACGATTGTTTAAAATAAAATACAGTAAACAATACTTAAATATTAAACTGGAAAGTAAATTTAATCAAGAAAAAATTTTGCTACAGTAGGCCTACTAGTACAAATCGGTGAAAAAAACCCACCAAAATAATATAAATATTCCCCATTCCAAAAGGGGATAAAAGGCCAGATGGCAACGGGCCTAGGGTGGCAACGGCCGGGTGTCTACAAGGGCTGTGTGGCAAAAGGCCTAGTTGGCAACGGGCCTAGGGTGGCAAAAGGCTGGGTGGCTAAAAGCCGGGTGGCAACGGGCCAGGTGGCGAAAGGCCGGGTGGCAATGGGCCGGGTGGCAACGGGCCGGGTGGCAACGGGCCAGGGTGGCAACGGGCCGGAACCTGTGGATATCCTCTAACTTGTTTATTGATTCTATTTAATTTAATGAAATCATCATCAATTTTAAGATTATCCTCCCAAACATAATTAATATTGTATGGTTACAAGTATCACAAGTTTCTATAGATTTGTTACAACCAAGTCTGATACTGGTTTCAACTGGCATGTGATCGGATACACTGATATAAATAATTTTGAAGTGTTTAAAAAAAACTATTAAATAATAGGTATTCACTGGCAATTATGTAATATATAACACTTTTGCCTTGGTAACCAAGGAAAGTAAAATCACAGATTCCTTTATCTTTACCAATCCTACCATTTAAAATTCACATTTTTACATTTTTGCAGAAATCTATGAATTTTTTACCCTGGGTATTTACTGAGTAATTACTAGAGTATCTTTCTTGTGTATATAAGTCTGGAGGGTCAGACATTGAAATGATATTGTAATCTTCAAAAGTTCATTCAGTGAACCTGAAGGAGTATAGATAAATGATATTGTATATATTATTTTTCTGTTACATGTATCATTAAATTTTAACGATATTATGTGATCATGCTTCAGGTTAACCTCTGTAAGATTTATTTATCGAGGCCCGCCAAGTTTCTTAAACAATTCCATTTTAGGTATTTCATTTTTATCTGTTAACCTAGTCTCACTAAGAAAAATTGTCATGCTTTTTTATACAATAGCACACTTCTGAGCTCATTGTCATCTTTTAATTTATTTAATAATTCGGCTTTCTTCTTACATTTCTTATTCGAGTAGTGTAATCTTCACTGACTCCTATTTTATCTGAACTTTCGTTTCAAATCCTATCTTTGCTTTCCTTTCCTTTTTTTAACTTTTTTTTTACTGTGTCTTTTTAGTATCTCTTCCTTATATTTGTATTTGGAGAATTTAACTATTATTGGCCTAGGAGTATGTTTTGTATTTAGTCTGTGTGCTCAATCAATTTCAATTGAGTTGACATGCACACCCAGATTTTCGATCATGCATTCCTTTATTTTCTCCTTGCAATTGGCCCACGTTTCATTTGGTTGTTTTGGAATGTTGTGAAAAATATAAGATTTTCTCTTCTGCTTTGAGCTTCAATTTTATCCATCTTTGAAGCAAGTTAGTAATTTATTGATTTTAGCTGCTTATTTTCTTTTTCAACAGCTATCCATATTTTGGTTGATACTGTGTACATCCTGACCTATTTCTTTCCTTAATTCTTTCATTTCGTTTAATATCTGTTTCAATGGGTCTTGTTCACTTGTTTCAGTTCCAAAAGCTTCTTTAATAGTTCCCTCTCTTGTAGTTAAAGGACCAGGGTTAAGCTCTATATCCCTGCGTTTATCAATGTGCATGCTATCACAAGTCCTAAAACTCTACCAAGAAGTAAACACCACAATGGTACAAGCTGCAAATATTATTGCTTAACTTTCCCTGCTTTTCTATGTGTATAACAGCCAATTCTTAGTCTCGATATTTCAATTGATATCATTGTTTTAACTGTTAAATTAAGTGCAACATATTCAAATAGCAATAAAATGCATTAATCAGATTGATTGCCATCTACAATACGAGGGCAGGTGCAATACAGGTGTACTTACACTATAGTTAATACTGTTTACTTTTCTTAATAGATGTGAGTGTAAGTATGTCTTCTCCTGTCAATAGAGGTTAGTGCCTAGGATTTCCTAGGCCTTGGGATTGGTATTTGAGAAAATCAACACACAGCGGTTGGCGGGAATTTCAAAATACCTTTATCAGTACAGCTGGGTTTAACACACAATGAAGAAGTAAACAACATACCTGGTCATAAAAAATCCACATAGAGTTTAAAATAACAGAAATTGAGCTTCCAGAAGCAAATAATGTAGAATCATCAGTATAATTGTAAATTTTCTTCAATAAGTTAGCGTAATTTACACTCAGAGCTCAGATACAAACACATCCGCACAGTAGTTATCTGACTAAACTCCAGAATATTTTTTTGGGAAAATATAAGCTGTGTTCTTGTAACAATGTAAATATTAGTGTAGGTAAGCTCCAGGAGTGGATTGCTATAAAATGGTCTTAACTGGTAGTCTTAACTCCTAGAATAAAGCCAGCTTTATCACTTAGACAGTCTTACTAAAGACATTCCTCTAATACCATTGCTATAAAACAGTCTTCCCTAAGACTGCTTTGGGTATTGAAATGCAAACAAGCACTCCCTGGTAATGTAAGATTGAGGGCAACGTCATGCTCGACACACACAAATGTATCGAAATGGACATAAATAAAGGCCGTAGACCTATTTTTACAGACGTTGTGAGAAGTTTATGGAGCATTCGTCGTTCGATTCTCCGACTTTGAAGATTTAGGCCTAGGTCTTTCCATTGCATTGTTGAATTAATCAGCAAAACGCCATGATGAAAATTATTTTTTAAGACCGTTTTAAGCCTCCTCCGAGTAGGCTTTAATTTAAGACGACTAACTGGTTAGACTGCGGTATAGCAATGGTCTATAATAATAGACCAGTAGTGACATCATGATTATAGCCGGCTAACCGTTAAGACCGCTTATAGTAATCCGCCCCAGATCTTAATGAATATTTAATTACAACTTGGTCTCTAGAGCCATAATGTGTTTTAATACCTTTATAAAAACATTTAAAAACTTACCTTGACCTGATGTAAGAAAACTTGGTTCAATGGAATATTCTTTTTCACGTTCTTTTTCTTTCACCAATACTTCATCCTTTATGTAACACTTTTTCTTGTAAAACATGTTTGCTACATAGTGCCTTAGGTATCCTATATCAAATATGAAAAAATACCATTTTGCTATATGCCTTCTAAAAGACAAGAAGAAATCTTGTACGCTCAAGTAATAACAAACAGTGCAGTCTATCTAGGGATTTCATATACTGTAAAAACTGGAGGACAAAAAGAATCCTGACCACATTGTTGGGGTCAAAGGAAAAGCTCTTTTAATAATATTAATTTGGCAAATTAAAAATACAATCTTGACAGGGGCAAAAAATGGAAAAATAATATCTTACACCACCGTGTACAGTATTTAGGCATGAAGAATATTTCTTCAATGATTTAAGCATGATTTAATATGCTCTACTGCCTCTATTTTTATACTGTCCACATTGGAGCTTTCAAGATTACAAGAACTTGTTAGAGTTTATATTAACCCTATATATTTTGTGTACATCCTGTAAGTGTTGATTTTTTGCTGTAGTCTTTGAAATAAATAAATATGCAGAACAGTGTGCGCAAATTTGTGTTGACTATTGTGTTATGAACACGTCTGGTTTGACTCAACTGCATCTGCGCGCAGAATTCTATATTATTTTAACAATTTTTTTGTGCTGGTAACAACAGGCTTTTATACGCTTCAATGCACTATTTGTGCGATGTGACACAATCAATTGTTAGATGTTCTCAATTAAACATTTTTAAAATTAACAATTTTTTCTGACTGAGTATGTTATTTTGTCTATATTTTTGGAAGAGGTTCCGCAAAAATTATTTCTGTTGCAATTAGTTCTGGGTCAGTCCACAGATGGACTGGACTATGAGTTATTTCATTCTTGATGTATTTTATTGTTATTGGTAAAACTTCTTGCTGTGTTTTTTTTTTTTGGGAGGGGGTATTGGTAATTTTGTTCCCATGAGATTTTGTTTTATTTATTTTGGAAAGTCTCTATTTTTGATATTTATATTTAAATCAATATTTAATGATTATTTTATATTTATATGTAAACGTTTATCTTTTTAGGTTAATCTTATTTTTCAAAATTCTAATGAATATAATAATAAACTGGTTGGGATTTTCTGTTGTACTGCGATATCGATATTGATTTTTAATAGGGACCCTGGCGGAATTATTGGTTGAGATTCCTGGTGTATGGGGATCCGATTAGGATTTTGATTTTTGGCCGGTATCCCAGCTGGATTTTGGTTGGGATTCCCGGTTTATTGAGATCCCTAGGGATATTCTGGAGGATCCCAAGTTTGTCAGGATCTCGAGTGGGGTTCTATCAGAATTTTTGATCGGGATCCCAGTGGGATTTTTAGTCGGGATCCTCATCAGGATTTTTATCGAGATCCCGAGCAAGATTCTATCGGGATTTTTAGTCAAGATCCTGGAAGGATTTTTGTTTCAGGTTTATTCTTATTGGAATTTTTGACCCGATCCCGTTGGTATTTTGATCAGGTTCTTGGTCACTTTAGCCTAAATTTATAATTTTTAAAAAAATATTATAATTGGGTCCTCAGAACATTCTTGTAAAAATGGGACTCATAAGAAGTAAAGTTAAATTGATTTTTAAAATCTTCCCATTGTCTAAAAACTGAAAAATATGAAATAATGAAAATAGGATTTTCTATTAATTATACATTTCTTTACCCATAAGTCAAAATTGAAGGAATGTACAGCTCCTGGGTCAATGATTAAGAACTTACCTTCAACCAGGAGTTGTGCTGTACATGTAACTTCACCCAGATGGTTAACTGCTTTGCATGTGTAAAAACCTTCATCTTCTGGTATACATTCTTGAATATGTAATTCACAAATGCCTTCCTCTGTATGTTTGACAATATATTCTGGCACATCTATAATTTCAATGTTATCAACATACCATGTAACCTGTGGTGGAAATCCAAACATGAATTACATTTGTGAATTGCAGAGAATGTAAATACATTTATGGCATTAAGTTACAGTAATAATACTGTAATAATAATATTTGAAATGACAATGGTGATTGTAAATGATGACACTAATTATGATGTAACTGTGTACAAGTTACTAATTAAAAATTTAAATAAAAGCTCATTTGTGTTGGTGTTCAGATTTGTGTTGAGACAACAATTTTTACTTCATAACTAATTTTACTTAATAATTAGATACAGTGATGATAATCATAATGAACAAAATGTTTGATTATTGAAATGAATGATTATTCTTTGTGAGGATTTGAGGGTGTCACGTCCCTAGCAGAAAAGCAGTTCACTGTTTGTCCTCGCCTAAAGGTTTGGTTTATAGAACCAAGTGTTCTCAAATAAGAAAAGCGGTCCAGTGTACACATATGGCTTGTGAGCAACATAGAACCAATTGCATTTTTTGGAAGGCTTACCATAATGCTTTGGTTCATTCAGAACCTGTCATCGGGAAACGATGTGAAAAAGTCTGCTAAATATAGCCATGGACCATGGAATTAAGAACAATGTTGATTTTATTGTTAAATTATTTCATTGCGATTGAGCATGAAATAAACACAGAACAAACAAATATTACTGTGAATTAGTTATTTTCCTACCTTTACCTATCTACCTACAATTCCTTTATGATAATAATATTATCACATTATAAAAGAGGTGTTACCTGGGGTCTAGGTATGCCAGCAACTGCACACTGAAGAATTGCTGCAGAGTCTCCTTCTACAGCAATTAACTTTGTTTCAAGTTCCTTAGTGAAGTATGGAGCACATTCTTCTACTTCTGGGATTATTGACAGTTCAGAGACCTCTGATATTGGGGCTTTTTCGTCCTATTACATAAAAAATAAAGAATAAAAATAAACATCTTAGCAGACTTTATACTCTGCCAGGATTGGTTAAATATTACAGCCCCAAATAAAGTTTCCAACTTAGTATTTGACAAGTTAAATTAGGACCCCATTGGAAATAAGTTTTACTCCTCCATCAGCTTTTGTTGCTATTTGTTTGTTCTGCCATGTGCAATTGTATTTGTTTTGTAAATATTTTGATGATGTGAAATAAACTGAACTAAACTGGCAAGTAAATAGTTCCTCTGCTATGTAGTTTTATCTTGGCAAGTGATGTTTGAACAGATTGTCCTGTATGACTATTAATTCTGTAGGTTGATGATAGAATGCCTCATCTACTGTATATGTCTTTTCCTAGGGATTTTTAATTTTTACCCAAAATATTTTGTATTTTATACTTAGTTCACCTGAATGAGTTATACTCTATTTGTTTTTTCCAAGATTTTCAAAAACATTATGTATTATATGATACATAACTTCTTTTGTTTAGTTGATCTTATTATTAAACAAAATTATGAATGCAATACAGGATCTGGATTATGCAATGATCTTTTAAAAATATATCACAAAGCAATGAAGAAAGATTAAAAGGATAATTGAAGGGAAATTGAAATTAAAATATTAAAAAACAGAGGTATATTATATCAATAATATTTCTGTAGTAAACATATAAATGATTATCTTATTATGTAAATAAACTTTCAATTAATATCAATATTATGTAATTTTATGCTTATTTCAATAATTAAATTTTTTTTATTCATAAAATGGAAATTAAAAGTAAAATATTAAAAAAACATAGGCATATTGTATCATCTTTCATCCTTTCTACCTTTTATGTAATAAACATGTCTTATGTAAATTTATTGCTCTCTTCCTTTTATTAGTTATCAATAATATCGTATCAATAATA